ACATAATGTTGAATTTGAGGGGATTTTCTGGGAGATGGAGTAAGGTGTTAATGCACTTTTCCTGTAGGACCCTCCATATCACCTATTGAATGTCTTCTGATTTTTTTTTTTTTAATTCCATTCCACCAACGCTGTCTTTGGGATGTGCCACAGAATCTTCTCTGGCTAGCAAAAAATATTGTACCTGTCAACAGGGAATCTGTCATGGACTGCTTGGTTCTAGCCTTTCTAGCCTTTTAGAAGTTGAAATTTACTGTCTTGGTCAGCTGAACATACTCAGTATCGGATTGTTGATTTCATTTATTTATCATTTCCATTTTCTAGCTGTGCTAAATAGCATGTCTTGGTCGTGCATTCTCACTTCTTACTGAAAAATAAGTTTAAATACAAACGGATTTTTTTCTTGTTAACAATAAAAGGAAGGTATGATATTTCCCTCCATGGAAAGTACAGCAGCCTTCTAAGTTGTTGGTTTGATATAAAATAAACTTCTAGTGGGTTTTTGATGAGGAAACAAAGTCCTAAATACTTTGTTTGTGGGCATATAGTACTTAAACAATTTGAAAAACAACTATTCTGCATTGTAATCTGTCCTCCTTTATAGAATGTGGCCTCCTTTTGCTCTGATGCAGAAAGTAAATTGATGAATTTGCTACAAAGAAATACCTTGCTTCCACCCAGTTTAACTAAAAGATGTGGCTTGGAATGCCCCTCTCCTTCCTGCAACTCGGGTCTTTATGCAGAGGATAAAAGTTTGGTAAGCTTCTGGTAATTAATATTGTGTTTATACTGACAGTACATACAGTAAGGCTATAAGCATGTTTTATACTGATAGCTGTGGTGAATGGTCTCACGTCTCAGTCCACTTCATAGGTTCTCTTCAGGGCAATGCAAGCTGATCAGAAGTTTTCTCTGTATGGGGGTTTAGGATTACTCCCCAGGAGGAACTGTGAGACTATTCTTCCTCCAATCAGTACATGAAAACCTCCCCTTGTGGCCTGTGTTTTCACAGCATACTTTAAATATTCTGAATTTATATGAGTAAAATAAATCATCCTTTCCCTATAGATGATTTATTGCTTCCTTGGTCCCATTGTGAAGATTATCTGACATGGATGTCACTGGAAGGAAAAATCTTGATCTTCACGGCATTCTGCAGTTCTTACCCTTGCTTAGAGAATTTACCTCCTGGTCTTTTTTTCCTAGATATTGTTCACTACTTCCAGGATTTAAAAGGGAAGAGGTATCACCTAGTAAATGTTTACATTTTTATAGCAGTCTTGACAAAAATTGAGTTAAATAGTTCTGAAGTTTCCCATGAAGGCTGCTGGTGGCAAGTTGTTCCTGATGTGGAGTACTGAGCACAGTCAGAACAAAAATTTTTCCTGCCACTAGTTGTGAGGAAGGTGGAAACACCCTGATGTGAGATCAATTCCTGGGAACTAAATTTAAGCTTATAAGGCATCCTTTTCCATTTCAGAGAGAGTGCTAATATTTAATTCTGAAGGTTTAGTTTATATCCGTTTATAAATATATTAACCAAGTTAAAACAAATGAGACGTTAAAGGTATTCTCACATTAGGCATGTGTTTGAATGATTTGCTGTGTAACGTCTATCTTGTGTGTATCGTTATCTTCAAGTTTTTGGTCTATATTCTACCCCTTTTTTCTTTTTTTTTTTTCTCCATTTTTCCCTGTTTAACAACCTGTTGAGGACATATCCAATGCAGTAGAAGTTTTAACTCCTTTTTATGAGTGCTTTGACTTGACCATTTGGCACAGAAAAATTCCCATACATTTAGCTTAGATCTCAGAAACAGAATAGAAATGTGCTGTCTTAATGTACATGTAAACAGTGATTTATCAAGCATCAATACTTGAAAGAATAATATTAGTCACCATCAGAAGATATCAAACTAAAATTAAATTGGACATGAATGATGACATAGCATTTTTGTATCAGGGTTTTTTTTTCCCCCGTTTTGTGGAATGGAGGAAGCTAATGAAATAGGACATTCTATTCAACATAAAACTTATCTCTTTTTAACTAGATCTCTTCTAAAATTGAAATAAAGCATCCAAGCCCTTTGTCAACTAGCACACCGAATATGAAACTTGTCGCACAAGGGTCAGCAAAAACTCCTTCATCTGCTAGAATTAATGAAGACGATCCCAAAAGTAGCAAAAAGAGAAAAGCGATGGACTTCCTCAGTTGCATACCTGCCCCTCCACCACTGACACCAATCTGTTCAATCATTTCTCCATCTTTAAAAAAAGCATTTCAGCCTCCACGAAGTTTGGGTTTACAGCGCAGCAAGTCATCAAAAGAAACAAATCGGAATATTGGTCATGTCACCCCCTGTAGAAAATCGCGAGAAACTGTCCATCTTCCTGAGAATGACCTGGTTGCTGATGAAGAACTTGCAATGATTAATACCCAAGCACTCATGAATAATTTACAAGAAGAAAAGAAGATTGATTATGTAAATGAAAACAGCAGTACAATAGCTACTAATTTATCTGATGCTCTTTCACCCACAAATAGTTCCAGGTCTACTGGGGAAGCAAATAACTCATCAAAAAGCAGTTCTGAAGCAGCTGAGGCTCTTCAGAAAGACACAAAGGAACTCGAGGGCTTGTTACCAGCCCGCAGAATGCTGCAAAGACAAAACCCCCGAAAATGCTACTAAATGCACATGTACAGTATTGTATATATTTCAAATTCAAATTATTTTTACACTTTGTACATTAAATCCTGATTGTATTTAATAAAGCTATATTACAAAAACAAAGACTCATGAAATGACATTTCATGTGCAAAATAATGTGGAGTTGAGCTGGATTATACATTCCTCACACAAACCTGCATGGTACAATATAGCATCAGTGTGGCTGAAGGTTTGATGACATTTTATAGGCCATTGCTTTGATTCTGATGTATTCTTAAATTACAGCAGGATCTTTGTTTCAGTCTAAAGCAATCGGTTTTGTTACCCTCTGTAGTGTTAGAATAGTTGTTTGGCTGTCAGAAGTAGCGCAGGGCAAAATAAACAATTCTTTAAGTTTATTGTTACCAAACATATAACACTTTAATTCTGAAATATTGCTCTGTAATTCTGCCATAGTTCTTGTACTTTTCCCGTCAAACTTTCCATATAGCGCTAAGAGTTTTAGAGAACAGCTATGATTATTTGATTCATAGCAAAATGCCATACAAAGGTATTAATGACAGAACCTTGCTCAGTGTTTCTGAGATACTCCTTAAAGAAGCACTTGAGGCCACAGCATCATGAAAGATAAGCAGATCTTCCTTTGATTTCATCACGAGATCCTTCTGCTGGGAGTGAGTTAGTGCTTGAATTCATTACTTTATTCTCATTAATTTCAACAGGTGAAGCTTCTCAGAATTGGAGTTTCTCCACTGGAGAGAGAAAAAGTCCTGCTAGACCGGCTGCCAACTCCACATTTTAGTTCGTTTGTTGTCGGGCTGCCCCTTGCCCTGCTGCTTCCCACCAGGCATGGGTCAAAGGGAGGGAGGATGTTTCAGAACTGAGACCACCAGCTTCCCACTCGGCAACCTTTCAGGGGTCCCATGCCATTCACTTGGCTCAGGTGCTGAACTGGGGGTGGCTCCTCTGACCAAGCTGGACACCGTAGCGGGACTAGAGAACTGTACTGGGCTGACACAAGCTTGCTGATAGTTCTGTAAACCTTTGTGCAATACTGCAGAGCCAGGTTATTTACAATGATGATACTGCTTCGTTAAATGCAGCTTGAGTAGAAAATGCAATTCATCCCATACATCTACTGTGTCCTGAAGACAGCTTGGCTTTTGCCCAGCAACAGCCTATTTCTTTATACCTCTTATACTTCTCTGTCTGCTAAATTGCTAGATGAACAGCAGCTGTACCCGTATTTCTTAATGTCCAGTGTGAGCTGTCTTCATTTCCTACTGCAAAATAACTCACTACTGCCCTGTTCTATAAGCACTGCCTAATAACCTACACCTACTTAAAAAAATTGCCATCACAAATGCTGAGTTTTAAAAATGTTTGATGAAGCTTCTTGATAACGACGTAATCAGCAGAATTTAACAATATAGATAAAACTGCTGCAGGGTAGCTTCATTATTTTGTATTTCTGAGTTAGTTTGGCTATTTGGTAGCCTTGTGCTTCAGCTATTCAGAGCTGCTCCTGCAGCCCTATTGCTACTTAGAAGTTAACAAGCACTAGCCTAACCCTAGTGCTGTGTTTCATTTTAGGAGCCTCTGTATATGGACTCGTCTCAGGATCAGTTGAATTCCTATGTCTTGGCAAGATAAAGGGCTCAGTTTGGTGCGTTAAAGTGTTTTGCCTCCAGGCCGGAGAAGCTGTTTGGCTGTGATAGAGCTGAGGTAAGACCAGCATGAACCCAGGCAGCAGAGTTGTAGATAGGGAGCAACGTCAAATCTTGCTACAGTCTGTTAGAGCTACCTTTTCCACCATTCACTTTGCCTCTCTTAAAGCTAGCAGTAATGCTCTAGGCAAGATGGAGTGGAAAGATACAAAAGGTTGTACAGCGAGGTTATGCACCTTACAAAAGGTTATAAAGCATTAAAATGGCAAGAATTGACAACTGCGTGGAGAAGGAATTGGCCGCATGGCCTGTAAGAAAGAAAGAATTTAGGAATATTTATTGTTATCTATTAGTGACAGAGCGCGATGCAGAAAAATCCCCAGAAAGCGTGTGGCGCAGCCACTGAGTTTCACCATAAGCTGGAATGGATTTTCATGGAGGAAGAGGGATGAGGGGGAGTACAGTTTGTACTGGGGATAGTGCTCTTAGATCGGTCATGTAGAGCTGTGAGATCATAATCCAGTGACATTTAAAGACTTGTAAGAAATAAAAGTAATTTAGAAATGTAGTAGAAAAATACAAGAATAAAAAACAGTTTAGAAAAAATGTGAATCCAGAGACTTTTGTACCCTGATAATTAAAATACACTGAGGAATCCACCTCTTCAGTTAAATGGCATGTTGTTTGTACGTGCCACGTGAGGTCTTCTGTTTGAGAAGGCTGGAGGGGGGTTGGAATGGGCACCCATGCCGTAAGCTGCATTTGGTCCACTGGAGCTTCTCTCATCTCTGCTTGGTTTTTCAGACTGAAGAACACTGTGGAAGGTAACATTGTGCTCGTATTGTTCTTTCATCCGTTGTATCTTTTGTTGAGGGACACGATGAATATTTCTTCTGTAGAGTCAACATTAACAGAAAATACAAGTATTTAGCTGCTCATGTATTAGAGGTTATCTTAAGCTTGCTAAGGTTCTCGATATGTTCAGGATAATGGCTTATGTCCCTGCCTATCTATTTCTAGCCCTTTTTTGCCAAACTGTTCTTCACTTCCACCTACTTCTTAAAAATCTTTTTGTTACTGCTGAAAAATGTAATGCAAGTATTTTTGTGGGCAGCCAGGATGTAAGAAGTTAGACAAATGCTTTGAAACGAAGGCCAGGTAAGAAAGAGCTATGTAGAAGACCTGTGTATTATTTTATGTGGCTTTTAGTGCTAACGGCTTGTTAGCCTCAGGGTCAGCTTTTATAAATCTGGAGAAATGCAGACAAGGGCTGGGGATAGCCCAGACACTGACTCATAATCAACAAGTACAGAGGTCAAAAACCTGTTGTTGCTTTGTCTGAGCACAAGCGGGGAAAAATCATACCTGATGTGGCTCACGTTCCAGGGCAGATTTGTAAATGACGGCCAGTCTGAGAGGGAGGGGAACAGGATGCTCAAACATGCAGGGCTTTCTGGATAGACCAGGAATGGCTGCAGTCTCTCGACACAGTAGTGGGAATTGTTTTTCCAAAGACCACCAGGAATTTCTGCTTGTCTGTGAGTTTGCAAACTCTGAATATCTTTGGGTTTGCCATTTAGCTCTATTAGGCACAATTCATCATCTAGAATCTAAGTTTGTCCTGCATCCGTATTTTCAAAGCCTTGTGCTGTGTAAATCCTGCCTCGCTTGCTCAACATGCTTTTTCCCTGGTGGAATTAAGGTGACAGTAACGCAGCAGGTTGCCAGCTGCAGCATTTGTGAAGCAGGCACAAGGTCCTCCATTCCCGCTTTGTGAAGCAGGCACAAGGTCCTCCAGCAGCCAGTGCCCTACACGCGTGTGCAGCCTGTGCCTGGGACCAGCAACCGGCACAAACCGTATTGCCAGTAAAGACACAATGTGGAACCAGACTGGGAGCAACCTTCAGCTGTGCCTGGATCATTTGCCAGAGAGCTGCTCCAAACTGAGTGTATCTGAATTAGCTTCACCGTGCCACTGTAAAAAGCTTGACTTGTTTCAAATGATTAATAAAACACAATACAAGTTACTGAGTAGCTCGGCCTATCATGAATGATTACTAGTAAAATCTGCCTCTGCAGTGATGCCCTACAACTCGCTCCCAGCTGGTGCTGGTGAAGCAAGAGCTGACACTTGCAGTTGACTGCTAAGGCTGTTGGTGTCCTCGCCCACCTTCAGCCCCAAGCCATCGGCTGCCTTCTGCCATCTCCTGCCTCACCTTGGAGCCTCGAGTGCTCTGGGCCACGGCCCTCTGCCATTTGTCTCTGTCACACACAAAAAGGAGCAGTGCTGATTTTTGACTGGAGTTCCTCGCTGGTACAAAACAAATAAATCAGTCAGAATGAAGTACCCATGCCCCGTTTTCTTGTGATAATAAGTAAGTTAGTTAGCACGTGTTAGCTTCTGGATCTAGTAGATGGGAGTGCACTTGCTGCTGTAACATAGTTTACAGCTGGTTGGTTAAAGGCTAGAAAATCAGCCTGCATGGAGTTTTTTAGTGATATAACTGTTAACCCTGCATCCATTAGCCAAACTAATATACTCAGAGCTATATTTGGCTGCCTCTGTATCCTACCACGTTATGCAGAGTTGATACATTTGTTATATCCCTTTTGAGTGTGCATGTTAAGATCTTTAGAAAGACCCTCTAGAACCCCATTTCTTGACCACACTTAATGTAGCATCCCACCATTGCAAGACAATATTTGTTATGGTTAAGTTTTTTAAGAGCAGATGTCTGAATATTGTCTGTAGTGCTTAGATGTGGTTTGTGCCCAAATAGAGAGAGTGCAGCTCAAAATACGGAACGAAAATCAGGCTTCCTGCCCCAAGGAGCTTGCAGTATAAATACATGCTTCAGGGGGTGCTTCTCTATTGCCTGACTCACTTCAGCACAGGCAGGCTCCTTCAGGGCTGAATTCACTGCAGACCAGGTACTGAGTAACAGAAATTTTCCACGACGATCCTTCTGTTGTCATTTACTAGGTTACCTTTTCGGGTATGTGAAGAGGAAGAGTGCTGACCTTTCTCAGAGTGCATCAATAAAAGGAGAAGCTGTCTGCCACATCAAAGAGAGAAAGGTGTACCTTGTCAGTTCTTGAACATTGAACTTCCAGGGCGTATCTGGTTCTTGGAATATAACTTCATATCTATTTTCACGTGCCTGAAGAAGTACACAGAAGTTTTAGATGTATGGCTCCCGAGCTCAGGAGTTAGCCAATCTGCCAGACCCCCTGAGATTTCATCTGCTTAAGAGATGTATCATAGGTACCAGGAGCCAGAAAGGGGAAGGTAACCATGAGTCCTATCCAGGTGCTGGTCTGAGTCCCAGCTAGTTCATTTCCTTCTACATCAAAGGATTTGGGTCTCCCAGCAAAACTTGCCTCAGCATTGCTCCCAGTCCCTGTCCCCCAGGGCAACGGCATCCTGGCACTTGAACTCTCTGGAAGTCACAGATGGCTCAAGAGCCACACCAAGCTAGAGCTTCCAGGAGTGTGAGGTCAACATCTATCAGTCATGCTATTTCCAGCCACTAAGCCTACAAGCCTCAATTTTTTTCAAGGTAAAGCAACATATTTGTGTGTGTGTGTGTGTATACATGTATATGTATATATATTTAATACAGTTATTGATTGCTTTGGGGTTTTGATTTGGGGGAAAGGAGGCAGGGCAATCTGTTGGCTTTTTTACATCTTGCCCACCTCTGGCTGTGCTCTCTCACTTGCTTCATAGTCACCCACAAGCATTAACACCTTCTGCTACTGCGTGGCATGTCCAGGCTTTCCAGCACCACTATTAATTTGCGCCTCTTTTGTGTTCCCATATAAGCAATACTTAGACCCAAATTTCTTAACTGACAAGACCATAACCCAAGACCAGAAGCATGAGTATAATGTTAGCAGACAGGCCACATTATGAAACTGTACTAAAAATATTGCCATCTCTGCCAGAACTCCTGACAAGAGATACCAATGCGTCTTTGAAGACTCTGTGGTGTATTTTTCACAAGTCATAAACTAAAATTGTAAGTCATATCTTGATGTATTTGTCAACAAACAGTTTGGGAACTGTTCAATTCATGTCACTACTGGGGAAGGGGATGACATCCTGATCATCAAGAAGTTACAGGGCAAGTTTAAAGACACAATCTTTTCAAGTAATTTTGCCTTCACTGAGGTATATAGCTGACTAGATGAAACAACTACACTGGCACCTCTTCCCCTACTTCATCACAGTATCAATCCTTAACTATAATTAGAGAACTAGGGGAAAATGGAAGTAATTCTTTTTAGCCATGTTAAGAACTGTTTCAGTCAGATCACCTCTTAAATCTCATAGCTGAGCATATAAAAG